CTCTCTCTCTCTCTCTCTGCCCCCTTACGTTCTCTCTCTTCCTCTCTCAAAATAAACACAATAAAAAAATAAAAATAAAAAGTAAAAGTAAATCAGGGCCATTATAAAGTGTCGGAACAGGAAGGCATCAATGGACCACTTTTGTGGTCAGGCTTTCACAGGCCAGCCCCTCCTTGCTACGCAGCTGTGACTGGTGATGTGGCCTGCAGGTGTGGACTGGAAATCTGGCCCATGTGTGGACGGGAGGTCCCAATCTGGTGTTCAGAGGGAACGCTCTTAGAAATGCTAAGATCTATATAGCATTTTACAGCCCACTTGTATAATGTGTTGTTATCCAAGAGTGACTATAGGGAGGGGCGGCTCTGTGCCAGCAGGCTCGTGTCTGGAAAGGCGGGACCAGGGACAGGTGAATAAGGACAGGCGGTGGAACAGAGGAACAAACCGGGCCTTGGCTATTTGCCGAGCTGGGCAGGTTGGAGACAAGGAGAACAGCGGGGGCTGGAGAGAAGGGAGTAGATGACATACCCGTACGACTTGTAAATGCACAGACCACCTCACCAAGAGGGAGAGGTGAAGGAACCCAAGTGGCCCATGAGGATGGTGGAGGTCCAGGCACGCGGAAGACAGGCTGACGGCGGGCACCGGGGAACCTGGCCCGTGGAAGTCGGGCCTCAGGAGAGGAAGCAGCACCCGAGTTCTCAGACTCTCCACCCGCTTTCCATTCAAATTCTGTCCGGCACGCCCCTATTTTATTAGCTCCGTTTTATACCGTGTTTGGTTTTGTGTTTCATTTTCTGTGCCTATAACGGCCTTTCAAAAGTAAAAATAAAAATCTGCACTCTTTTAAAACATTAGGAAATACATGGTTGCAAAAGTTAAAGATCACAAAGAGATCAAGACTGTTTAATAGTGATTTTTGGTTTTTTTTGATGGAAATCCAGTCACATCCGCCTGTACCGTTACACAGACCGCTACCTGCACTTTCACACTCCACGAAGAACATGACTGATTACAAAAGAGAGAGGGACTTTTAAAACCACACTTAATCTTTAATACAAAATCCGTTGCCCTATTACAGAAGTGACCCCTTCCTTCATGCACAGATAAATTTCGCGCCTACCATGATGGGAGAGTAAAAACTGTACTTGTAATGCCTCCCTCCCCCTCCCAGACATCGGCAAATGTAAAGTAACTTTTATCTTTGTGCTCTCTGATGCCAAGGCAAGCCTGGTTTGTCTTTCTGTATTTCCATTAGAACGGCTGGTCTGTGAGAAGCGAACATGGAGGCGTGGGATTATGTAGGACCATCTTTACCTGGGATTACTTCAAATTGTGCTTTACCTATAAACAGCAAAGGTGCCGGAAATAGGCCTACTGAGCCCCACAGGCAAAGCTCTGAAGATTTCTAGAAACTTGCTGTCAATATGTAGCATAGATCACTATTTCAGTTTCACAGCAAAAAGGGAAAATAAAAACCCACAAGGTATTTAAGTAAATGCTTTCCAATCCCATGCACTGTATTAATTAGCTAACTTCTTATACAGTACAACATCAACATGGGTTGCAGGTTTATTTGTCTGTAACACCTCTATGCATATAGCATCTACACTTTAGGTATATTTACAAATTCAACAAAATATCTACATATAAAAAGCTTCACTTAAAATTAAACTTGATGCAAGTTATGAGAAACCAATTTATTGGCAAATGAAACGGAGCATTCCTTCAACCATAGGTTGTTAGAGGACTTCATATTTGGAGGTAAACCATTTGAGAGATCTCGTTTATGGATACGGTACAATGGGTATGTTGATGTCTGAAACTGCGGGTGGAATCCCTTTGACTGTTGGCCTCGTTAGCACGTGTCAGATTTCTGAGATTCGGAAATGTGTCCTAGCAATTTGCATACACGTTGTTTAATGCTGCAGAGAGTTTCAAAAGTTGCCCCCTACGTAAAGGCCCGGAGAATAACATTCCTGTTGGCATACTGTCCTATGCTTCTGGTGTGGGGATAGCTTATGTTTTACAAAAATTCTCTACCCAACTGACAGCCTTCTGACCGAACTGACTTTAACAGAAACCATAAAAGACCGCCGAATCGTCATGTGCTCCAGTTGGTGCTAAAGCTTTTTCTGTCTGTACAGACGGGGAAATGCTCCTTAAAATAAACTGTCTTATTCATCTCATTTTCACCTCTCCTTTCTTTCAGCATTGCGGTTTTCATGGTCTCTGCTTTGGAAAAGTTACTTTTGGACACTGACAGTAAGCTGGGACTCCGAGGCGACCGTCCCGGCGGAGAAAGAAGGCAGCGTGTTATGGAATGCTTGTTGTCTGAAGGCACTGTACGTGTCTCTTGCCCTGTGCTTTCTGGAGTCATTTTTGAAACTTAAGTGGAGTGATTCGTTTTTGATTCTTTCAGCCTGGCCTAAGTGCCAAAATGCATTGCAATACACATTGCTTATGCCTAAAAACAACTGAACGCGGAGATGAATGTAAAAAGTAGAACACTGTACTGCTGTAACACCCGGAGGGTTAAGAAGGCTAGGAAGTAACAGGAGCGAAGGCCGGTAACAGAGTCTCAGCAAAGCATCAGCAAATGCGACTGTCACAATTAACTCATTTAGCAAGTATATACTGTACATCCTGTTGCTAACAGTCTCCCAAAAAGACTAGACAGCTAGACACAGAGTCACCAATTTCACAACAATGTCCACAAAGACATTGAAGTTCTAGAGAATACTACAGTTACACTCTTGACAATGAAAACGGAATTCATATTTCGGGGTTCGGCCGATGATAGGATAGACCGAGTCTCCAACTATGTTTTAATAACATACACAGGTGTTCCTTTAAGTGTGTAGCATTATTTCATGCATCATATTGAACTGTGTCCTGAAGAGGAAGTAACACGATCCGTTGATGAGGCTGTGTTATTTTGATCAGTTCTGCGGAAACCAAGGATGCCTATTTTGAGTGACAAAGGATGCACTTTGCACTGCAGTTCACATTAACAAATCATCTGACGGAGTCGCATTCTTGTTTTAGCTATTCTCATAATATTAACACACGGCAGAACACGCACTGTCTGCCCCTGAGTTCATAGTATGAGAAGGCAGACAAACAAGTGCTTAGGATGAACATTCTAGAGAAATGGGATAATTGGCAAAGGGCTTGTGGGTTAAACAAAGGAATTCATGGCATTGACAGGAGAAGGTGCCTCTGAGCTTTCGTTTCCTTCGGCGGGTTCTTTCTCCTTCTTACCGCTGTATTGTCCAATAAAGGAGCCGTCCTCATTGAACTGGCCGTTCACCCCCTCTCCGTAGTCAACTAGGCTATCGTCGCTATCTTCTTTCTTCACCGTCCTGTCTGAAGGTGTTCGACTGCCCTTTTTCAAAGGCTTGTGGTCTTCTGCGTCACTGGAAGACAGAGAAAACATCTTCATCAGGATTGGCATTGAGGCGAAGTGCTTTGTTCTTACGGGTCATGCATGCAGGTTATGACAAAGCGCGCGGAGTCCTGAGCTTCTCAAGTCAAGTCTAATCGTCAGCTTGACTCCAATGACTGGGATGTGGTTGGGATGAAAATCAGGTGCAGCAATGGTTTAATCACAAAGCCTTCAGGAGGCGGATGGCTTCTCGCTGCGCATGTCAATGTCAATGATACATTCTCGCTCCTGATTTGGAAGCAGTTCAGAAACAGTCACAAGCATTAACAAAGGGAGAATGGAGAAAAGTTGAAAATCATCCCTATTTTGAATTCAAAGAAGTCAAAAGCTTATGGCAAGTAGAGTAGTTAGTAGGTTAAACTGTGTGAGATCTCTGAATTCCTTGGAGATGAATGGCGCATGATTTTGGTTAAGTGTGAAATATGAGGGTTTTCTCGTTTGTTTTTTTTTCTGAGCACGAGGAAGCAAAATCCTGCTTTTTGAATCATTTTGTTATCGAGTGCAGGCCAGACTTGTAAACTTTAACCTTACCTTTCAAGAGACCTATACATTCCATTAAAAGGATGCAGAAGAAACAAGTGAAAATAGCCTAAGAAGAAAAGCAAAATCCTTATACTGATAGTAAACAGTATTTTTTTTTTCTGTAAGAATTTTAGTTAATAGGTAAAGGTTGATTAATTTGGAGACAGACACAATTTCACTTCAAAGCATTACATTTGTACTATTACTGGCAGGTCAATATATTCCTAAGGAGTATGAGCGATTCAAAAAATGTCAAAGCAAACATTTGCTGTGCTCATTTATTTTATCTCAGTCTACTCTTCTCCCGGTGTCTTATGTAGCCTATCTGTGTTGGATGGGGATCTAAGGCTCATAATTTAAAACACATTATAGAACCCGATTTTTTTTTTTCTTACGTCTCTGTTAAATCCCTAAGCACAACATCTGGAAGTTGGAGAATAGGTTTTCGAACACCTGCCCATCCGGTCGTGTAATTAGGTACACACAGTGACTTACTCTTTAATAGGGAACAGTGGGTTTGGAAAAAAAAAAAAAAAAAAAAAAAAAAGAAAGAAAAAGAAAGAAGGCCATGAGAGTATTTTGTTTCCTTTCCAGGAGCAAAAATGCAAGGCCAAAGAGGAGACATAAGCAATATTAGTAAAAATGAAGAGGCTTCAGGTCAAAAAGAGGCTGCCTCAGCTGTAGTATTTCACCCAGCAATTTTTGTGCTGCCCAAAAATCTGTGCCACAGCTTTACCGCCCACTCCGTCTCTGACAGTGACTTTTTTCTAGGCAAGATACAAACATCTCAAGAGGCACAAATATTCTGGCGGTTTGGCCAATAATGCCTACCGGGGTTTTCAGTCTTTCTCCAAGAAGCAGATCTCAAGACTGGAAACTTACACTTGCTTAACAGGACACAGGTGTCTGCTCTTGAAAATTAGCAGTTGCAACAAGACACAAGTTCTTGTCACACACTGAACCAACAGTATTATCCGCACTGCTAATCAACAACCGGGGAGGTATCACAGGACCTCGGGGTGGCCCGTGTTTGGGGCACTTCAGGGGAGAGAGCAGCTCGTCTCCGATCTACTGCGAGTAATAACGTGCACATCTGTAGTCATTAACCTCTAGGCTTTGTCTGAAGACTTCCTGTGAAACATTGCTCATGACTTGGTGAGGCACTTAAGTCCATTGGAGTGTTCAATAATAAGCAGGTCTTTGTCACCTGGATTCCAAGCTCTACTTCAGACAGCTAGTGTTCCAAGGATCACACTACGGTATTTCTTTGATCCAGCCACCTCTCCCCCCATTCAACCACTCATATATCTAATAAATATTTATTGAGTGCCTACACTGGTAATGTTCTAGTCCTTGGGGATATAGCAGCAAACAAAACAGACTAAAGCCCTGAATTCATTAAGCTTACTTCTACTAGGGGAAAACATGGAAAATAACGTATTGAAATATTGGTTACATAGTGTGTCAGAAGGTGATTAGTGCTATGGAAAACACGGAACTGAGGAAAGAGGATGAAAGGTGTCAGGGGAGGGTGTAGAGGTTGACGCTAAATAGGGTATCCAGGGAAGGCCTCATTAGAAGTGACAGCCGACCAAAGACTTAAAAGAGTTGAGGTAGGCAGGTGGATAGGTGGAGGGAGAGCCATTCTGGCAGGAGTAGCAAGCAGTGCAAATGCCCTGAGGCGTCAGCTAGCCTGGTGCACTCTGGGAACCGGGAGGAGCTTGTGTGGCTGGTACCGAAGGAGACAGAGAGAGAGAGAGAGAGAGAGAAAGAGACAGACAGAGAGAGAAGAGCTAAAGTAGAAGGTGGCAGGGCTAGATCCGGGCCCTCCAGGGGACACTGGAAGGCTTCTGTCTTTAGCTCTGAGTGAGATGGAAAGCGATTGGGAGGTTTTCAACACATGAGTGACAAGAGCTGACTTAGGGTTTGAAGGATTACAGTCATCAGTGTTGGGAACAGCCTAGCCTGGAGGGCGGGCCTTGGTAACCTACAGCAAAATTGGGTCACGCCATTTCCTCTGTATTGTGTGTGGCTGCTTCTGCACTCCCCACAGCAGACATGTAGAGTTGCAGCTTCGACCCTGCGGCCTGTAAGATCTGAAATATTTACGAGTGGGGTCTTTACAGAAAACGTTTGCCGACCCCTGCTCAAGGTGGCCGAGGCGACTAGGGCAAAAACACAGGAGACTGGACTGTGAGCCTGGACAAGAGCGGAACACCGAGGCGGCAGAAAGTGGCTAGATAATGGACATATTTTGCAAGTAGCACCAAAAGGATTTCTGATGGATTGGATATGGAATAAGAGAGAAAAAGAGGACACCAGGATTTTCAGTTTGAGTAACAGAAAGGATCGAATTACCCTTACTGGGGAGTACGGCATGTTTGGGACGGAAGATCAGTGGTTCAGTTTTGGACATGTTAAGTTTGCTAGATCAGAGGAACCACTCCTTTAATGATTTTACGAATCTGGTATAACCTGATACCTAAAACCTACAAGAACACTTGGGGAAAGTGAAATTACAGGCTAATCTCATTCAGGAACAGAGATGTGAAAATCCCAAAGACATCAAGAGCAAATGGAATTCGGGAATCTACCGGAAGGATACCATATCATGACCAAGTTGGGTTTATTCCAGGGAATGGAAGTTTGTTTCAGCATTAAAACTTCAATTCATATAGTTTTCCATTTTCGCAGAAGAACAATATATTATGATCATTTCAGTAGATTCAGGAAGAGGTGTTTGGTAAAATTCAACACCCATTCACAATAAAAATGTCGATACTCTAGGAAGAGCAAGTATCTTGAATGTCCTGGGTATTTGCAAGACACTTAGTTTCACCATCTTTGATGGTGAGTGTTGACAATTTCTGTTTGGTATCAGAAATAGTAGGGATGCGTACTATTGTCACTTTTAACCAAAACTGCATTGAAAGTACTAAGTGATGTGCGGAGAAAAAGAAATGGAAGGTATACTATTACGAAGAAAGAAAACTGTCATTACTCATAACTGGTATGGTTACATGTATGTAAAACGTCCAAAAGAATATGCAGGCGGCCATTAGAATAAAAAGAGAGTTTGGTAATGTTGCTTAATACAATACCAGCATAAAAGTCCGTTTTATTCCCATGCTTGCAAATAATTGGAAAATGAAATTTAAAAGAACGATTCCAATTATATCACACAAATATGAAGTATATAAGAACAAATCCAACAAAAATGCTTTAAGTTCCCTATGAAGAAAATGAAAGTTTTATTGTTATTAAAGAAGAGCTAAATAAATGGAGGGATTTACCATAATGGTGGACAAGAAGACTCAAAGTATCGTTACATACGTTAACCCTCTTTATATTGGTCTTTAGATTCAATTTACTGCCAATAAAAACCCAGCAGGTTTCTCTGTGGATCTTGCTTGGCAAGCTGACTCTCAGCTGCATGTGTATAAATGAAAAGGCCAGGAATACCTAAAAAATTCTTGAAGAAGAATAACAAAGTTGGGGGACTTGACTTATCAGATATCAAGGCTTATTAAAAGTTATAGTACTAAGATAGTGTAGTTTTGGTGCAGGGACGGACAAATCAGTCAGTGGACTGTAACACAGGGCCCTGAAATAGTTGGGAGATCTTTTTGCTGGCTTTATTCCTACATCATATTTTTATGCTATCATAGCTGAGATCATTTTTCAGATCCTACTTTCCAACTGTTCGCTGGTATACAGAAATACAACTGACTTCACCCTAATTTTATGTCAGGCAACATCACTAAACTCTTTTTATTAATTGTAATATCTTCCTGCTGATTCATTTGGATTGTTACACAAACAGTCCCTATCAGTTATGAATAATGGCGAGCCAAGAAGGAGCTCCCTAGAAACATCCATTGCAACTTAATGATCATAGTGGATGAGAGAAAATCTATAGCAACATGGGCTGTGCTTGAAAGAAGAGAAGGAAAGGAGAGGAGTGCTCTATCCACAGAGTCTTTCTAGGAAAAGTGGTTCAAAGGCAGCTCAACATCTTCCTAAGACTGGTTTTTAAAAAGTGGTGTGATGGGGGCACGTGGACGGCTCAGTCGGTTGAGGGTCCAACTCTTGGTTTTGGCTCAGGTCATGATCTCACAGTTCGTGAGTTCAAGCCCCACACAGGGCTCTGTGTTGACAGAGTGGAGCCTGCTTGGGATTCTCTCTCCCTCTCTCTCCCTCTTCCTCTCACCTGCTCAAGTGCTCTCTTTCGCAAATAAACTCGAAAAAAAAAAAGTGGTGGGATGTAATGTCATACTTCAATTAGAATATGGCTAAATGGGGGAAAAATTGTACGAGGCACCAGAACAGTACTGGCACGTGATTTATGCCCCCAAAATATGAGTACTCATCTATCTGCTATCACATCTCCTCTCTCCATTCCAGGCCCCCACCTCAGAGAGATTTTTTTTTTCTTTCTAAGAAATACCTTGTGTAACACACACAACTCAGAAGTTTCCAGATGTGATGACTGTGAAAAGTTCTACGAAAGGGATACAACTCAGGTACAAGTCCGTGTTGAAGCACTGTATTAGTACTTGCTGCTTTTCAACTCAAAGATGAATTTTAAAAAAGTTTTTAAATTTTAAGTAGCCTCCACACCCAACATGGGGCTTGAACTCACAACCCCCAGATCTAGAGTCGCATGCTCTCCTGACTGAGCCAGCCAGGTGCCCCTCAAAGATGAATTTTATGGGGTGCCTGGGTGGCGCAGTTGGTTAAGCGTCCGACTTCAGCCAGGTCACGATCTCGCAGTCCGTGAGTTCGAGCCCCGCGTCAGGCTCTGGGCTGATGGCTCAGAGCCTGGAGCCTGCTTCCGATTCTGTGTCTCCCTCTCTCTCTGCCCCTCCCCCGTTCGTGCTCTGTCTCTCTCTGTCCCAAAAATAAATAAACGTTGAAAAAAAAATTTAAAAGATGAATTTTATAATGAAATAGTAAACAAACTGTTTTTGACATGATGTCAAGGGAATTGTCCCAAATGAGAGGAATTGGTTATGGGGGATGATTTAAAAGCCATATACTTATTTAGCTACACAGTAGTCAAAGCTTAAAAATATTCAACCACGTTTTATGAGAGATGTTAAGGACAGGAGGCATCAGATGTTAGTGAACTCTTAGCCTAGGACATCAAAGATTAAACAAATTTCAAAATATGTCATAAAATAGCCACAACATAGCACATGTAGCTACAGAATATATTTTTGATACTCATGGCCAAGAATGAAGATGGTTGAGCAGTGGAAAGAAAGGGTCACATCACAGCATCAAAACTCATCTGTGACACCGCTTCTTCTGGGAAGGCTTCTCACATTACCCTCCTTCCGTGCCACCCAGTTGGCCTTGGCTTCCCGCCCCTGCTCCCCGGTACCTGAGTTATATCCCTTTCATAGAACTTTTCCCACAGTGCTCAGATTGGTCTTTTACTTTCCCGTGTCCCTTGCTAGACTATAAGCTAGGGAGGTTAACATTCTATTGTTTTTACTATCCCCACAGCCTGGCATACAGTAGGCACTCAATAAATACTGGTTGAATGAAAGAATTCATTGTAAAATAAAAATAAAAGACAGGTGGGCATTTTAGAAAATTTCCCAGAATTCTAACATGGGGAAATTTTCATTCCTTCTTAATGAATTTCATGATGTCAGACAAAGCACTAGATTATATATTTTCTTCCTCTCTCTTTCCCTAGGAATGAATTTGAAGGAGTTGACCTTTGTTTCAGTAATACTTCAGGGTTATGCACACAGGAGGGACCCAAGGAATGTCTATTGAGTTAAAATTCAGCAACAACAGGTACATTTGTGATCATTCGGTTTCTCTTGTGGTCACGATCCTCCTACCGCCAAATCACACTGCCGTTAGATTGACCTTCGTGACCCAAACACTCCCTCTAAAAGTCCGTCACGATTTATACTGTTCACATACCAGTTTACGTTTGTGAGCAGAATACATTGGAAGCAGATAGCAAATCAAACATGACACACCTTCGTATCATTCAAGCCTTAGGAGCACGGGTTAGCATGCCTGCAACAGGATCATGTTTACTCGAATGGCAAGATCCCTGTGCAGACAGCCTCCATTTATGCTATGAATTCAAGTACCATGGCCATATGGTTTATGACCTAGGGTCATTCTGGTTTTTAAAGGAATGGATCTAGACAATTAAAAAAAAAATACTTACACGGTTGGTTGCATTGTTTCTCTGATTTTTCTATATGCTAGTAAGGATGCAGATCCTACTGTCTGTATAATTAAAGAAACAAACAAAGCAAGCTGCAGGCTTCCACCAGAGGGTAACTGCTTGGGGGTGGGAGTTGGAGTCAGGGCACAAGGTTACAGCTTATGGGGAAAAAAAAATCAAATTTGGCCATTGAAGTTCCATCCCTGTTTGCACTATGAAAAACCCTCTGGCTGAGAGCCCACCATGTCGAGGCTGTTTCAGCCTCACGCTGGAGAATGAGCAAATCATAAATGGAATTCATTTACATTTGGTAATAGCCCCTAATTTTGTCTGCGTCGGTGTGTGATCAGCGTATTAATTTGTTTTCAGAACGAAAAAGAATAAGAATCAATAAATAATACAAAGCTCAAAACTTCCAGAAGGTGCAAAACAGAGAAGGGACCCTGGTGATTTAGGAAGGAGAATGACACTTAAATGTATTATTTAAAAAAAAAAAAAGGTATCTGTTGGAATAAATAGTTGGAACTATTTTCATTAATTGTAACATCCAAAAAACTAAACGACTTTTTTTTTTTTTAAGTAGAAAAGAATCCAAAGGGAAAAAATTCTGAGGTAGTGTCAGGAAGTCACAGGATAAAGCCGTATCTGTAGCAAAGGGCAGCTGGGTATTTGGGAAAGTGATTTCACTTGTGGGCTTGTCCTTAAGGACTTTCAGTCTTGGTAAAAAAGAAAATGACTAAATTGTGTTTTCAGTTGAGACACCCGTCAGAACCTTCCCTTGGCATCTCCCACATCAGCGTAATTATATGTGTGACAAATGTTTTTGTCTTCACACACGAACCAACAGATTTGTGCTCAACAGGCCCAAAGAAAAGTCTTTCTCTTCTGAGAAACTCAAGGCATGTAAAAACGCTTCACAAACATATCACATGTGCATCAACACCATGACAAAGAAATATGATAAGTGTAAATGTAAAATAAAATGAATGTAAACACAGTGATAATGAGGCCAGTCACCAAATACTTGCCATGTACCGCTCTGGAACCCCAAATCATATTAAAAGTTGTGAGTAGACATCTCGTGGAGGAGGTTAGAAATCATGGAACTAGCAACCTTCGGTGATCATCTAATATTTGAACAACTGTATCATTTTACAGATGAAAGACATTGAGACCCAGACAAGTTAAGTGCCATACCTAAAGGAATCAAAGGTAATGGCTGAGTGGACAGTAAAACTAACAATTTCTTGATTCCAAGCTGGTTCTCATTCAACCTCGATTTCAATCACGTCTTGTTGGAGTAAGCAGCATGGTTGCCCTGAGAAAGTCACATGACATCAGACCGTGTAACCACGAGCTGACATTTGAGACCCACGAGGTGAGCAGTACATCGCCGGATTCACTTAAGCGTGATAATGTATGACAGGAATCCATCACCACGTGACGAATGTACGAGGTGCAAGGGTTTATTTCCAATTCATGCAAATGCGGAGTTGTTTCACGCTACCATAAAGATTTCGCTTCATCACAATAAGGGAGTGGTGTGCATAACTTGTGTAGAAATCTAGCCACAACAACTTTATCTAAAAAGAAGTTTCCTAGTAATCATCACCTCACCTGCTGTACAGGAAAAACATGTAGTAGAGTGAATGAAATCAGCTGGGATTGCAACTCATCCAAGATCAGACGTGGCTTTCCTAGGCTATGGCCATCTGCCGGCTGCCCTACCGTGTAGTGTGGAGTGGGCAGAGGTGGCCCGTGAGCTTTCCACAGACTGAGTCCCAGGGTCAACTGGTGACACCAAGACAACCCTCATTAGACATCTTTCTGTATCGTGAGATACAGACATTCTGAGAAGCTTTACGAATCATAATCATTTCTGTTGAAGAGAAGATCAGAGTGTATGAAGGCTTAGGTGCCGAGACACAAAGGCTAAACTTGCGACTGCATGGAAACTGGTACGAAACCAAATTTGTCCAAAAGACATGGTTTTTCTCAATCAGTTATCCTATTTTCGTATGCTTGGCATTATTCAGCCCCTCGGGATATTGACATGGAAATGCCAAAAATGAGCTCTAGAGATGGGTGGAAATTAGCACAATTTTCTATAAATGTCACCTGGCAATCATAATAGTGAAATATTTTGTTACCTAAAAGCCTTTTCTTCTGCCAAAAAAGGCTCAGTTTGGACTCAGTGCATATTTTAAAAAATATATAATTTATATATTTTTATATTTATTATTTTATATTTATATTAATTTATTATATTTTATGATATATAAATATGTTTATATAATATATATATTTTATAATCAAGAGCATCATAGAAGGAAAAAGCAAGGTGTAAAAAAGCATTTTATAAATAGAAGTGTTCTTTTGGGCCACCCAAATCCCAATTTTTTTAATGAATACATAGTTTCTGTTTTTAAACATTATTTTAAACTTAAAATAATCAATTAGCTCTTTTATCTCTTTTTAAAAAGGCAAGTAACTCTTAGGCAAGAATATCTTTAAAGAGTTTCTCTTCCTGTCTCTCTTTTTTCATTACTCAGCACATAGGCTATGTTAAAAATGAAGCCAAGCCAAGAATGTATTATCAGAGTTGTGTGAGTTAACACACAGGCTAGAGGGCTATGATATTCTTAATAATTTACAGCTTCTAAAACAACCTTATCATCCTTTTATGATTAATGGCCAGGGTATGTAGATATTTGTTTTGGAAAACAAGCATCAAATCCAGGAGTAGAAAGAGTGACACCAATTTTATAAATGTACTACTTAGAAAATGGCAGGTGTCGTATCCTGTGGAATGCAGGTCTTGTAGGGTCTTTATTGTTGTTTTAACTCTTATCCTAACACACCAGCTTTTCCTGGTTTGATCAGTACAGCAGCAATGCCTCTGGGAAAATATGGCAGAGTGGAAGACACTTCATTGTCAAACCTATGACCAAAATGGAAATTTATCTCTTGATGAAAAGTGGGAATATTTTCATCGTGAGGGATGCGTAAACATTTAGACATGGAAGTGTTTCTAAACTAATATTTGAGGAAAATATGAAAGGCCACAGAACCTGTTCCTGGCCGAATCCCGTCGGATGAGGTCTGTATGAGCAGACAGTCTGTGCAGGGAAGGGAAGGTGAAGGGAGTCTGCGAAGCAGTGCTCACCTGTATTCTCCAAAAGTGCCATCGTCTTCCTTCATAGGCTGGATTTCAGGATCAGCGTGAGCATCTTCCTTTTCCTTAACTAAAACATTTCAAAGCGATAATATTATCTATTGATTCTGCGTTTCCCTATTGAAAATTTTAAAGAGTGCACTCTCTGAGATGTGTGGCGGTGGAAAATGATTCTACACACAGCGGGATGTTATACAGCCAGATGTGTTATGTGGCCACACATATACTTTGCTGTTTTCGTCTCTCTGAGACAACCTAATAGAATGAACATTTGTTAACCTATAAAGTTGACTTCCTGTATGCATCTTACTGATGAAGGAATAAGTTTTAAGTTTCTGTGATTTCTCCCCTATTGGACTAATCTATTTATTTACAATAGTCAAGGTTACAAGTCATTTTAGCAAATCTTATTCTTTTGCAGATGTTTTGTTTTCTTGTCACTGACGGGGAAATGGCCAGGTAAATAGAAATTCATCAGAACCACTAAACTGAACAAAACATTAACGGGAGAGGAAAAGCAATGTTACACATCATGATATCAAGACTCAGTCCAGAAGACTTCCATGAACCTTCCCCTTCAGCCTGTTGGTTGTAGGTGCGACTTTAGCACCTATGACTTTTGTGTAGCCTACGGAAGCAGAATCACTAATATCTTCAGAGAACAGCTTAATTTATTCCACCAAACACCTTCTGATCCTTGACTATGTTTAGGCTCCCATTTAAAAAAAAAAAGGGATCAAAAATTGGACAGAACATCCAAATTTATGGCTCTGGGAAAATATACTTATTACTACCTACATATTTACTCTCATCATTTCATTTTAGTTTAGGATAATGATGCAGCACTATAAGGCAATTTTACTCTTTCTCTCTTACCTGGATATTTACCACCCTTGTTTCTTCTGATGAAGCAAACGATCAGCAAAATTAAGATGAGAAGAGCGACGGCACACATCAGACCAATGAACCAGCCCTGAGTCGCAATATCCACCTGTCGGCTTGCCATTGCTGGAAAACAAGTCAGTGGTGTCGGGGGGGAATGGGTTAAGGGGGAGATGAGAACGGGTGTAGTCTCTTGAAGCAAAAAACTACCATAGTATACGAGCTTTTATACATTTTACCGTGGCCCCACATTGCAATCTGTCAGTTATGATAAAGCAGGAGTTATATAAAAACTTTGAAAAATCTTCATGAATTAAAAAAATTCAAATAGCGGAATCTGAATGCTAATCCCATCAAATGCTAACGAATCCTGCTAAACATTGTGTTCACAGTTATTTTAACTACATATTCTCAATAGAAACATAGTCCCAAGCCAGTTTTTAATAGTACCGTCTATAGATAAATTGTACATTAAGTACAACGATAAGAACGGAAGACCGAGTTTTAAACAGAACAGAATGTATACATCTAATGGAGTATTTTTTCTTCAAAGGAACCACTTTTGGAGGCTAAAATATCATTGCAGTGATATTGTCATTTTCCAAAATGTTTTATAAATCTTCTTTTAAAACGGAAAGCTTTAACACACAAGAAACCTGTCTACATAAGATAACCAGCCTTATTATTTTATAGAACATCTCAATTTGCACCTAAAACATTCCTTAGATTTGTTATTTATCTCATTTACAAGAGTTGGTTCTAAAAGATTTTTGGAAATGTCTGAAAAACTCTGATTTACCCTCAAAGGATCGATGTTCAATATTCATTATTGTTTAGAATCTGTTTAAAAGCCTTTGAGAGGCATCTTGATCGGGGAAATCATTACTGGAATAAACGACCAGCTTAAAGAGAAAATACTCATTCACATGTATACATACTCTTTGTCTTCATCTATTCTGTTTGAGTCAATAAATGTGAAGCCCCTTATTCAACTAGTCACAGTATGCAAATATCCTAAGAAAAACACAGAATAATTAGCATTTCTGGTATTATTCAAAAGTGTCAATCAAACGGGACAAAGTGCAGCATCAATGGCCATTCAGACATGCCCGTGAGGATTTGTTTAAATAAATTGGTACGAAACTTTTTTTAAAGGCCTTTATTATTATTTTTTTTGACCATAATCAAAGTAAAAGGTTTTCTTCTTTTGATTCATAAGCATGCCTATACCATGCTTTCAATCTGATTGAGTTTATTTGAGTGCACTTAACGTGGTTGGGTTGGGCATATGTGATCTCTGGATGCAGAAACAAACATGGCTACACATATCCCAGGGTCAGCTCTCTGTTGCCAAAATAGCACCTCATTGCCTTATTTTTCTCCACACAAAGTAGAGGGAGAAAAATGAAATGCCTAAAAGTCAAGTATGAAGAATGTGAAGAACGTGTGTATGTGTGTTTAAGAAATACAATGAGAAGTGGAAATACGTGATCTGGAATATAAATCAAACGCCAGTAGCCTTTCGCAATCTCCCTTTGTGTCTCATTGGCTAGAGGGGTTTTGAGTTGTATCATAACTAGATATAACCAAGGCAGGAGTATAGGCAGTGCCCTCCCTCCATACACACACCAGAATCATGATGACGAAGATGAAGAGGAAGGCAGTGATAACGACAGCTAACATTCTGAAACTCTTACTATCGGCTCGGCACTGTGTTGAGGGCAACACCTTCTTTAATCCTTCGAGGTGGGCATAGGGAATAAACTCATACTAGCCAGTATGCTCTACTGCTCTAATGCATTCCAGAAAACACGTCCAGACATCAACTCTGCAGAAGTCTTTCCAAAAACCAAAATGCTATAGAGACTTTCCCTGAGACAGGTGAAAAGATTTTGAAAGTCTATCGTGACATGCTCCTTGGCAATACATTTCTTTCAGTTTGCACCTGGTCTTTGATGGCGTGCTTTTTCTCCAAAACGGAACCCCAAGCCAACTGGTGTAAGTCTATCAAGCATCTGATTGAAGTTAAAGAGTCCTTGTTTTTAGCATGCTCAGTCACTTCCAGCCTTGTTGTAAATAGTATCTGCTTTTACATTTTCCATCCAATTAAATACAACCATTAAGGGCAACATGCAACAAGATACTCAAGTGCCAGCACAGACATGGTCTTAGAAAGGTGGCGATTGTCGAGGCCGAACTTCCTGCTGGCAGGTGGCTATTGTGTAACTATGCAAAAAGTGGAAATGTTTCTTTGGCAGTCGATGAGGGAACAGCCAAATTGATTTTGAATTTTTACCTCTATGTTCCAAAAAGAAAAGAATCAAATATTTCACAATCCCACTCTTTAAGATCAGGCAGACACAGCAGGAGCATGCGTGCGTATGCTCACCTAAACACACACTAGTGCACCAGAAGTTGACTTAAACAAAAATTATGTAAGTGAAAAGAACTTCTACTGACTTCCCATCCACATAAGAAGGGATCTAAAGCCCAGAGTGGCTACGAGAGGCTTCAACTCTTCCTAGAACACTCTAAGATCATCTTAACTGCAGATACACGTACAAACCAGTCATGGCCACCACTGTGCTTCACACACACACAC